AAAGGATGGACTCCACGAGGGAGGGGCGGGGCCAGACGGGATAAAAGTAAAGGGGGCGGGAGGGGGCGGGGACCGAGGTGGGGGAAGTGGAGTGGTTTCCGAGGAAAAGGGGAGTGGTCGACGAGGGGCAGAGGACGGTCCAGAAACTGTCAACAACATTTAATGAGCAACCTTGGCGTCTCCATCCTAGTCCTTGGCACAGGGAGCGATACGGAAAGAGCAAGAAGCAGCCCCTGTCCTCTAGGTGTTTACAATCTAGTTGGAGAGACAAAACATATACACATTACATAGCTAAAAAGTGACTCTAAGTCAGCTTGCAAGCAAGGCTATAATTGGTATGTATAGAGCGTATCTGGAGTGTATGTATTAGGGAATTCCACGCAAAGCTTGGAAGGTCATGATCCCTGAGGGATTGGTCAAAGCGTTAGTGAAGGAGGCCCAGAGAAAGACCAGCGGGTGATAGCGTCCCTTACCGTTTACCTTTAAACCCAACTAGATGAGTTCGGAGTTCCATGAGGCTTGGTATGCATGGCAGGAGGTAAGATAGCCGGATAGTTAAAAGTGGGAGCCAAGGATTCCAATTTCTGGCACTGCCACTTACTAACCTTATAAAGATAGGCAAGCTAATAAACTTTTCCCCTTAATTTTCTCATCTGTAAAATAGGGGCGATGATAGCAGTACCTGTCTCATCAGGCAAGTCAGAGAATTAAGGGAAATAGAGCAGTGCCTGGCATACATTCCCCTCAATAAAGCTTAACCATTATCATAGTATTTCAACCCACTCCCACCTAGACTACAATTCTAGATTGGCAGAACTGTATGGTCTGCTTCACACTGCCATTTTAAAATACTAAAAGTAATTATACTAATTCAGTGCCTAAGATCACAAAATAGTAACTGACAGATCCAAACTGGAACCCGTGTCCATCGGGTGTGCAAGTAGGCTGAAGGGAGAGAGCAATGTAAGCCTGAAATCTTTGATGTTAAAAATCCAAGTGAGTTTTGTTTGTTATAACATTTAAAAAATGCCCTTTCCTCCCTAATCGTTGAGTAAAATTGACACTCCAGGAAGATGTGCCATGTTTACTCTGCAACTTCTTGTAATAATTGCTAATAATAGCTACCATTTATTGAGCCGCAACTTAATGCCAGGTACTACACTAAGTGCTTTACATAGATTATCCTCCCGTGAGGGAGGAAGTATGAGCCCATTTTTGTGAAGCATCATGCCACACTGTGCTGACCGGCTCCCCCTCACCAGGAACCTGCTAGGTTGTAGGTAACAGTCCTTGATTTAAAATGCCGATCTCTCCCTTACTAAACCTCTTTTGAGCATGAGGATCATGTCCTATCTATGCGTGTAACCCTAGTGCCTGGTACAGTGCCTGGCACAGTGTTGGTGCTCAATAATGTACCATATCAGTGAGTGGCATTTGGTCATTTTCCCACCCTCCCCCCACCTATACACCCAAGGAACTGCCTGTGCTATCTCTAAGCCCTTTCTGTCACCCCCAGTTTGAGCTTCACCTGAGCCCTTTTAGAGAGAGAGGCTGAGTGCATTCTTCCCTACCTTATGCTGTCCTTCGGTGACCTTGTTCAGACTTGAGAGGCCCCGGACATGATTTGAGGCTTGACTCATTCCCAGACCCTGAGCCTCCAGCCACAGTCTCTGCACACCTAGGCCAGCAAATGGAGTGAGCCTGCATGGGAGCCGCTGCTTAGTTTTCATTTTCATAATTATTGAATGAAAAATAACCTTCATTCCCCAATGGAGAAATCCCTGCTCTCCTGGCCTGAACACCCAGTCCTTCTCAGGGACTAGAGATGATTCTCAAGAGAATTTGCTTATTTACTAATGTGCCTGCCAGAAACTGAGCCAGCCTGGCCACACCCCTTGCTAAGGGACTGGCGGAGCGCAAGAGACAGAAGAGCTGGCAGCAAAGTGGACTGATCTCACGGAAACAGGCCCTGTCTTGTCCCTATCTTAACCGGCCACTGGGCCACCTCTCCAGACTTACAAAGTGAGCGCGGGCCCTATAGTGCCTCCTGGGGGAGCCCCAGCCTGCTTGGCTTCTGCAAGCCTGCCTGTACCAGACGGGCCTGGAGAACTCCTTCACCCTGGGAGCCAGTGTTTGGGGGCATTGGCTGGAAAGGAGGGGTGGGAGGGGAGCTACCCTCGGGAGCCCTCTGGCACTCTCAGTGTCTGGCTAGGGGAGTGCCTTTGCCTGAGGCTCCAGCTGTGGGTTGCTTAAGGATCATGTGCTTTTGGAATTAAAAGGTCCATCCTTGATCCTGGAGTCACATCCCTACTTGCCTTGATGCCCCGGGAGAAAGTAGGGACTTGCTCAGGTGACCCTGCAGTACAGCCAGGATCAGGACCTAGACGGGTGAGCCCTTGGCCATTGTCACTCCTGACTCTGAGGAATGGTTGCACCCACTGGGCACAATGCCTTGTAAGAAGTCCTGTTCATCTTACAAAGTCTAGCTTGGGCCTTCTCAGCTATGAAGCCTTCCGAGCGCCCCATCGCCCCCGCCCCCGCTTACCTGATAATACCTGCACGATCGTTCTTCTTACTCTCCATTGCAACCATGTTTGCGTCTGTCTCTTCTGTGGGACTGTGAACCCCGAGGACAGGGACTGTGTCTTCTTCTTCTTTGTATCCCAGCAGCCTGATCTGACTCATAGTAGGTGCTCGGAAGATTCTGTCGATGACTGAACGAAACAAGCCAAACTTTCCCGATGGCCCCCCATGCATCGAGTCTCTGGGACATCTCTCTCTCTCTCCTTAAGTCCCCAGCTCCCCGGTTTTGTTCGTTTGTTTGTTTTGTTTTAGATATGGAAACACACATGCAGTCACATCACACACTTCCACACGCATCACATACACACACACACTGTTGCTCTCTCTTTAGCCCTTCGCCTCTAGATCTATGCTGCGTATTACAGTGGCCCCCATCCACATGTGGTCCTTGAACACTCGAAGTGTGGCTGGTCCGAATTGACATAAACTGTACGTGTAAAACACACACTGAATTTTGAAGACTGTGCGAAAATATACATACGACCGTTAAATTTTTATATCGATTACCTGTTGAGTGACAATATTTTATATATTAGATTAAATAAAACATATTATTAAAATTGAGCTCACCTGTTTTTTTTGTTTTTTTGTTTTTAATGTGGTCACTAGAATATTGAAAATCACACATGGGCTCACATGATCTTTCTGTTGGACAGAGGCGCTCCGGCCGCTGAACAGCCGTAGGTCCCTTCTTTCTCCAGGAGGTGGCGATCCCTCCATGCCTTTGACACCTCCGTTCCAGAAAGGTCTGGAAGGTTCCTGAGGAAATGCTTATGTACAATAGTAGATATTGAACCCCAAATAAGGATGGGCCCCACTGAGCCCTGCAATGAACCAGCCCATCTATGCAAAGGAGGCTTCAAAATAAACCCACAGGAAGTCGAGAAGCTAAGCGCCATCTTCCTCAACGGAAGAATCAACATCTAGTTGATAGACTCCTACTCTGGCTGGCACAGTGCTGCCCTTCCAACATGGTCTCTGTTTTCCAGGGCTAATAAGCCTTTGGGGAGTGGGCGTGCAGTGGCTGCTGTGGCACATGGCCCAAGTCCACCTTCAGGTCAGAGGATCTTTCCCCAGCTGCCGGGCATTGCTGCCAAGGCTCACAGCTGTGTCCCTCTCCAAGGATTGCCCTCGGCTGAAAAAGAGACGCCTCACTCCACCACTGACTGTATAAGGAGGAACAAAGCCCGGCCCTCTCATTTCCTTTCAGGACATCTGGGAAGGGTCACCCCAGCTTCAGAGCCTGGGGTCAGCCGAAGCCTCTGGTACAACTGTCTCCTCACAGTTAAACCTCTCCCTCTGCCCACTTCTGCCGACCTTGCTCCCCCACAGGTGTTGGCCTGAGCGCACTCGCAATAAACGTCTTCGTGCAGATCGCACAGCCTTACAGTCTGTTTCCTGGAGACTCTGACCTGGAACAGTTGGTGCCAGGTGTGGTCCTAGGGAACAGACTCTAAACAGCATCCTGGGACTGGACCACCTGCCCTGCCTGCTAACAAGGCCCCCATCACTGGTGGTAGGTGGAATCTTCTGGCCCCTGTTAAAACTTTTCTGGGCAGTGAACTGGGATGGGATACCAGCGGAAGGACAGGCAGTGGTGGTGGAAAATCTCAAGTATTCGAGAGGTTGAGGGAGCAGTCGTAAGGACATGGAAGCCTACGGTCGTCCTTAGGGGTAATCGCAGTGGAGAAAGACAGTGAAAGGCTGTGGATGCCGAGTCCCCATTAGAAGCCTCAGTATTAAAGCCGAGGGTCTCCTTGGCAGCTTGTAAAGAAACTCACCTCCTGAGACGGAGAAAAGTAGAGGATCAGAATCTGGGCTTAAAAAGAGTAGCAGGCCCCAGAGGAGGTTGAATTCTCAACATCGGTGAGTCGGCTGTGCCAAAGAGGATCCTGACGGGGAAGGAGCGGGACTCGGAGACATCTGGGGTGATCTGGGTCGCTGCACTCAAAAATCTCCAAGCACCAGGGTCTCCTTGAGGTGTGGCCCCCCAGCCTGTTAGAGGTTAGTGCCCCCTGTTTGCTTGATAATGATTATTCCTTCTTGTAAGACAGGTGCTGCCCCATCCCCACCCCCACCCCAGGGGTCTATGCACCAGATCAATAACTAGGTTTCAATCCCAACATAACCCTTTTGGCAAACTGCTGGGCCACCTAAGAGGAGGAAAAAGCTGAGCCTAGAAGGAGCTACAGGTCCTCGTCGACGGCGCCAGCGGGAGCTGGGTGAGTGTGAGATGGGAACCAGAGGGTGCTGGAGCAGAAGGGGCAAAACGTAAAGTTGGATAAGCAGAGCGTTGCTGGGGAAGCGCTTTTTCACGTTAAGGGATTCGTCACCCCGGCAAGGCCCCCAAACGTTGGTGCTAGGAGCGGCTCTTGGCAGCGTGGAGAAGGCGATCCAGGGTACTCACCCCCCAGCTGGCAGGGCTGCCGAGGACTTGTAGCTGCATTTTTCTGCAGGAATCGCCCTCGGCCGAAGGAAGCTGCCTCAGCCCAGGTGGATGCGGGGCAACAAGGCCTCCGCCTCCTCCCGGGCTTCTGTGTCCATCCCGGCGTCTCTGGAGGGCTTCTGGCTCCGGAGCTCCCGCGACAGGGGCTGAGGCGTCTGTCACAATTGCATCCTCACAGCCCGACTTTTCCCCGGGGCCAAGTCCAGCTGCCCTGCTCCCCAACAGGGGTGGCTCCCGAGAGCTCTCTGCGGTGACACACAACGCCCCACCGCAGTCTGTGTGTGCGGTGGGGACCTGTGGAACGGACTCAGCCTGAAAAGGGAAATACAACGAGGCAAAATGTGCTTAGTGCCAGGTGTGCAGGGTGGGTCTTAAGTGCAGGGGCGGGATCAGAGAAAGAAGCCACCCTCAAAACCACTGGAAAATGCAAATGGTCACTCAAGGGTCCAGGGAGAGGCTGCCTTCTCTGCCCGTGGGGCTTTCAATTGCTCTGCGTAGAAACCTGGGGTCTTGGAGGCATCATCAGGGTGTCCTCGGACCCTGTCTCTCATGGGGCCCACCTCTTAGTCTCCCCCAGGTGGTCTCCTCTGGGTCCTAGAGTGGGAACTAGGCAGCTGTTACATTGAGGGCAGGAGTGGGGAGCAGGTGCAGCCCCATGTGGGAAGCTTCTGGAGGTCCTGGGACCAGGGCGTCACTCACCTGGGCCCAGCGGTTCTCGCCTGGATCTCTGGGCACATCAGTCAGAGCAGCTGCAAGCTCGGTGCCCGAGAGTTAGGGGGAGGGGTCTTCTCTAGCCCCTGGCCCTGCTGATGGGTCAGCGTGCCTTGAACCAATGGCCCTGCTGCCACCTCTCCTTTGTCACCGAAAGGCAGCTGCCTCTGGCTCCTCTGCATCGGGCCTTTCCACCCGCCCATCTCTCCTGAAAGACTCTTAAAGATCATCAGAGCCTCCTCGTTAGGAGGGCCTGAGATCTTTTCTCCGTTCTTGGCTACACGTGGTGCTGCTGACCGCCCTGTGCTTTGGGTTCTGGGACATGTCCTGATCCTGGTTCTGCTCAGCTCATTGCCTCGCTTTTCATTAACGGCTCCTTCCCCCCACCCCCACCCCCGCAGCGGACATGCCTGAAGCTCAGCCCTCAGCTTCCTGCGGCCCCTCAGAACACCCTTCTGATGCCACGGCCTCTGTTGTCTACTCGACTGTGAGGACGGTCACACCTGCACCCATTGTCCTCGCCGCTGCAGATCGTTGGCAGGACGGGGGCCCAGCAGTCAGAGGTGAGGCTCTGCTGGGGCAGGTGGGGAGTAAGGTCACAGGGCCCTCTGGGGCTTTCCTGTGTGCCCTGGACAACCTGGCTCCAAACCGTCATAGAGTGTTCTGGAGTCCTGAAGCAGGAGCCCAGTCTGGGAACCCAGCCCACAGCTGGCCTTCAGACGGCCGTAGCCCTGTCTGGTGGACCAGGAGGCCCCGCAGGAGGCCAGACTGGAGATGGGAGGACCCCTGAAGGGAGGCCATCTTGCGTGAAGAAGCGTGGCAGGGGGGCAGGCTGAGCAGAGTCAGAGCCGGGGGAGTCGCGAGTCTGTACCGGAGGGAGGCTGTGGCATGGAGTCAAATCGTGTCAATAGGGGTCTGAACAGAAGCATCTGAGCCAACGGCCCCCACACCAGGACATGTCGTTAGCTTGACTTTATCCTAAAGACACAGCCTCGTTCTGCAGTTAGAGCGCTGGCAATGTCACCTGTGGCTGCCTCGCAGCTGGAGGCGGTCTTCTTTTGCCCCCTGCCCCCCTGAGGCCTGGGCACAGTCTCAGAAGCCCTCTAGACAGCCTCGGACAGGCGGAGCGGGCACACGAGACCAATGTCATGGCCGGGAAAGGAATGCGTGTGGGGATGGCGTTCGAGGGGCACGCGGGGCTGAGGGTGCGCTGGGACGGGTCTGCGCCTCCACGGGAATTGCATTTCTCTCTAGGCGTCCCCGCTGGGGCCCACACTGTCCCCCACCTGGTCCCAGCAGGGGCCTCTGGGGGACCCTCATGTAGTTTGCAGCAGTCCTGTTTTACACGCTGGACCTCTGCCCAAGATGCCACTTGAAGAAAAGTTCAGGGGCTACAGAGGTGCGAAAGCCCCCTGCTTTGGGCACACGGCGGGCTGGACACCTGTGCCGGCTGAGCTGTTCTCTCCCCCAAGGAAGACAAATAGGGTACAAATTACGGCCAAAGGCTGCATGGAGAACAGGCTCTTGGAGCAGCGGCTCTCAGCGCGGGCTGCACGTTAGAATCACATGCACACTCCTGACATCCTCACCCCACACTTTAAGATCAGAATCTCCAAGGGTGATGCGGGTGTTAGAAAATTTTGAAGCCACCAGGTGATTCTGACGTGCAGCCAGGTGAGAACGGCTTGTCTGAACCACAGAGGGTTGAATAGGTGACAGTAACAACCAGGAGCCTCAAACCAGGATGTGCATTATCGGGGTTTGGAGACCCCGGGCTCCAGCCCCACCCAAGGCTCGGACCCACCTCCCCTGTGCAGTGGCGTGGTCGTGCGGCTCGTCCTGGCCTCCTCACTGCCCTTTGCCCCGGCCTGTGCTGACCTCTCCCTATCTGAAGCCTCACAGATAGGGTCACCAGATAAAATGCAGGATGCTTCATGAAATCAATTTTAGATAAACGGTTTTTTAGTATGTCTCAAATATTGCATGGGATATATTTATACTTAAAAATTTTATTTGTCGTTTACCTGAAATTCGATTTTCTCCAGGTGTCCTGCATTTTGATTTGCTAACTCTGGCGGCCTTACCACTTATCTTTCCTGAGGCTGCTCTGCGGTCAGATGGATTACAGTCCCAGCAGGAACGGCAGCCCGCTGTCTGGAGGTGGTCGGGGGTTCTGAAACGCCTCCGGAGATCATCACCGGACAAGCCTGGGACTAGGGACGAATGTTGTCACTCCCGACGTCAACGTTTTCATTTTTTATTATTTTTTTATTTTTTCCGATGTTGATGTTTCGAGATAGCTCTCCGTTTCATTGCAGAGAGGAGCCTCTTTATCTCTGTGCCCGTCACTCCCGCTCTGGTGGTGTGTTGTCATTTTCTCCTGGTCGACTAGAAGAGAAGGGGCGCCCCATGGTCACCCTCCGCTCCCCTCTGCTGCCCCTGCAGCTTAGCCACGTTTAATGCACTGGCTCAGCTTGTTCTCTGAGGTTCCACGTGTCTAGAGGCATTTTCCAGAAAGAACAACCAGGTGGTGGTCAATCAAAAGAGGCAGATCCAACAGCCAGCCCTCCTCCCGCAGTGCCGGGCGGTTATAACTGGCCACCAGGGGACGCAGTGGAGCCACAGGGTCTAGGGACAGAGGAGGCCTCTTCTGGGACTTTGAGGTCAGAGGTGCCCAGCCCAGGTCCCGGATGTGTTCCCCAAACCCAGGCCCGAAGGCCCAGCTTGAGGAGGTCTCCTGGTCAGTTCTGAGAGGTCTTCCGTGAGTCCCCAGGAGGGGAAAGAGGGGAGCTGCCTGGTGGCAGTTGGGGTAGGAGATGTGATAAGCTCTGGGGATTCTGCTGGGCCTCAGACCATAAAGGGACCCTGGGAAAAGAGAACAAGAGTGTGGGTAGGTGGGGGCCTCTGGGCTGGTCCGGGGTCACCCTGTGGCCCAGAAGCATCAGGCAGGGCCGGCACCGCAGTCCCTCCTGGATCACGGGTAAGAGCAGACGCTTCTGATGAGATCACTGTGTGGGCGCAGAAGCCAGCTCCCGATGGGGCAGGGGGTGCGCGCAGAGGTGGGGGGTGGATGCCGGCAAGGGAAGAGCTAAGGGTTGCAGGAGGGGCGTGAGCTGAAGGGGAGAAAGGGAGGTCGGGGCGGCCTACAGGACCGAGAGGGGGGCCTGGGATGGGGTGCGAGAGTGACGAGCAGGAGGCAGTTTGCTGGGGCTCAGGATTCCGGAGGAAAAGCCCACGTCAGGTGCCGACAAGGCCCTGGCGGCAGCACTGGGAACGGGGTGGAGCCAAGGCCACTGGTGGTCCAGGAGCTCTGGAGTGGACATGTTAGAGCAATCTCCCAAATATTTAAGTAAACCTCCAGCAGAACATAAGTAGGTGGCCTGATGACTTTCCGCCTCTCCCAAGTAACCAGCATTCGACTTACGTTACACTTCCAGCACCCCAAAGCCCTCCGTGGGCAGCCACCCTCCTGATTCTCACATGCAGATTAGCACCGGGGGCCACGGAATCACATGGCCTTGCTCGTGTTCTGGCTCATGCACTGTGGCGTCAGTGAGGCTTGTCCGTGCTGCTGTGTGTTGAGCACCCTCACTGCTGGGTGACCTTTTATTTTGTGTATATCCCACAGTCCCTTCTACGGTGGCTGGTCCTTTGAGTTGTTTCCAGTGTGGGAACATTCTTGCTCCTTTAGCGTTTAGTGGGCTCATGGGTCCCAGGGTGCGTGTCCAGCTTTCGTAGGTACGGCCCAAGTCTTCCAAAGTGGTGGCCGCACCACCTCGGGCTTAAGCACCTCGGGAAGATGGCAGCCATGCGGGACACGGTAAGGTATCGGGCATGGCAGGAGGGCATGAATCTCTCAGGCCCTTTTGCTCGTTTGAGCTGGTTTTTGTGACAGGTGGACGGGCAATGGCGGAAGTCGTGATGGAGAGCTGAAAGCGTGAGGCTTTGACTCCTACCTCTGAACGTGGGCGTTTTCCCCAGAGTGCTCTGCAGAGAGGTACGCTCGGGGAACCAGACTTTGACCGGGGAGGTAATTTACGAGGCTACGACGACGTGGAAGGTCTGTCCAGGGATCAAGACCTTCCAGTGGCTCGCCACTGTCTACACTGCGAGCTCCACCTGCACATCCCGGAACCAGATTTAAGCATTTCCTGGCAGCCTCTGACTCGGGGACACTGTCTGGAGACCAGCAGGACTGTGAAGATGTGGACCATTTGGAAAATCACTGGGCTGAGCAGCCTGGTGGGAACAGTGCACGCTGGGGACAGGGAGGCGGAAATGGCCATGTCTCTCCCACTTCGCTGACTTGCTGGGAGGCTCCGAGCAGGTTATTTAAGCTCTTCGAGCCCCAGTTTTCTTCTCTGTAAAATGGAGTTAATACTCACTGGGCCGGGCTGTCACGTGGATTCAAGGAGACCTACCTGGGGCTCGGCTCTGAGCAAGAGCTGTGGGGCAGCCGGAGAGAGGGAGCCTCAGAGGGGACTTGCCCAGGCCTCCCGGGAGCAGAGCGTAAATGCCAGTCCCAGTTGGCGGTGGAGCAGGGATTAGCCCCACGCCCTCACACCAGCCACCATAATCCCCTTCACGTCCCGTGTGCAATGCTGATGTTTGATGGGGCGCCACGCTGGCTGGCAGGGCTTGCTGACAGTCCCCCCTGCTGTAACGCAGAGGCGAGCAGGGCAGGGGGTTAGAAATCTCTGAGAAGAGCAGCCGTGCACCCCGGCGTTGCAGACGGTCCTGGTTCCTGTGCCTGCAGACTGCTCCTGGGGGCGACTGGCTCTGTGGCGGGAACGTGGGGACCCCTGCCCCCAGCTCCCAGCCCTCAGGGATAGGAGTACCCTGCTCGGGACTCTGAGACACGGGGAGAAAAAGTGGAGGAAGAAGGGCAGATTTGGAAGCTCTGGGGCTTTTTAAGGAGGGGATGCCAACTTTAAGAACGGCAAATCTGCAGGGTATCGCGGGAGGAATAAAGTGCCAGGGGGCACAGCCAATGAGCCAGGGCGAAGCAGGGGCTGTCTCTGTGCCGTCCTCGCTGGCTCCTCCCCACATCCCCCAGACTCCCCCAATCTCCCCACCCCTGCCCTGTGTGTGCATGGCCTAGTATGAGGCCATCTGGTTAAGTATGGGGCTCCCTGAAGACCCACTTTGATTAAGCGGCTTTTTCTCTAAGACGGAAGGCTGAGGCTGCTTGAAAAGCTCCCAGCCACACACCACCTTGCACCCAAAGGGCTGGAACGTCGTCCTCTGGGCAGGTAAGGTAACCCCTTCCTGCCCCGCGCCACACAACTGCGTTAGAAGTGACCAGTGGGGGCATAATTGGGGTGCCTCGTCCCTTGGGCAGCAGTGACAGGGCACCCCAGGCTCCATCGAGCCCTGCCCACCCCTCCTGCTCTCTCCTGTGGCTCTGATGCATGGGGAGCAGTGAGGCTAGAATCTGGAGATTTGGAGGGGCTGAGCAGGAAAGGGGAGAAGACAGCACCAATGTTTACAGTCCCCAAACCTGTCCCAGGGGCCAGACGCGTGGGGAATGTGCCATCCGCTTTCGGGCTGCCCCACCCTGGGTCCAGCTACAAAAAAGGCAAAACACACCGTCACTCCGGCCTGCCCGTCCTGGAGATGATCGGACCCCTGACCCTCGCTTCTCTCCTTCAGGTGCTGGGGGACCCTCCTCCACGGCAGAGGCCACTTCCTGAGCCAGCGCACCCAAAGGTGGCACCAGGGCCAGGCTGTCCATTTACCACGTGAAGCCCATGGCCCTGCACATGCCACCTGGGATCCCAGAGTCCCCACGCTGCCTGCGGCGCCACACACTCCCTGCCAGCGAGTTTCGCTGCCTCACCCCCCAGGATGCTGTCAGCGTGTTTGAGATAGAGCGTGAAGGTGAGCAGCCCGCTCAGGGGCCGGACGCTGCTGTGCTCTGCCGAGGTCGTCCTGGGGGGAGAGACCCTTGCGTCTCTTGTCCTTGTGGGCTGGGACCCTAGAGTATGAGACTGTTTTGTGGGTGCTCAGAAAAGTGGGGAGCACAGCCCTGAATCCCCTGCTTTCCTGTGTGGGACAGTTGGGGGGGGGGTGGGAGGCCCCAACCCCAGCATCTGAGCAGACGCTTGGTGGGCAGTGGGCGTCCGGCATGGCTCCCAGTCACCCGCCCTCTTGCCACAGCCTTCATTTCTGTCTCGGGCACATGTCCCCTCGATCTGGATGCGATCCGGCACTTTCTGACCCTGTGCCCAGAGCTGTCCCTAGGCTGGTTCCAGGAGGGCCGCCTGGTGGCCTTCATCATCGGCTCGCGTTGGGATGAGGAGAGACTCACTCAGGTGAGGGCCGGGCAGGGCTGCCGGGGCTAGCCCCTGGAAGGCCCGCGGGCCCAGGCTGCTCCCACACAGCCAGGGGAGGGGAGCCAGAGGCCGGAGTTTCTTCCTCGATACCCGGGACCCAGAGACGTGAGCACAGGCGAGAGCCTGGCGCTTTGGGGTCTCAGAAACCCTCGTGAAGAGAATGCCTTGAGGCTGGGGGTGTAATCCCGATGTGAGGCCCTCCCTGGGTGGGAGGGGAGCCGAGACAGGAGGCACTTGGGACAGCTGCTCTTGACCCAGGTGGGGTGGCGTGGGGGGCAGGTGTCAGCAGAGGGGACTGGGGCTCACCTTTCGCCCTGGCCCCAGGAGTCGCTGATGCTGCACAGGCCCGGGGGCCACACGGCCCACCTGCATGTGCTGGCCGTGCACCGCACCTTCCGGCACCATGGCAACGGCTCCGTCCTGCTGTGGCGCTACCTGTACCACCTGGGGGGCCAGCCGGCCGTGCACCGGGCCGTGCTCATGTGTGAGGACACCCTGGTGCCCTTCTACCAGAGGTCGGGCTTCCGGCCTGTGGGCCCGTGCGCCGTCACCGTGGGCCCGCTGGCCTTCACCGAGCTCCAGTGCCCCCTGCGCGGCCACGCCTCCAGGAGCAGGAACAGCTGCTGAGCCGTCCTGCCCAGCCCCGGTGTCCCCTGCTCTGTCCCGGCCTCCCTGACGGGAACGGGCACAGTGATCCCCAGGGCGGAGGGGAGGGGAGGGAAGGGGTGAAATAAAGATGGGTGTTTCTCCAGCTATCACGTGAGTCCCGCACCCGCCAGCCCGTCCCCGGACCACCTGTTCTCCGCACTGTGCCTGAGATGGGGGTGGCAACTGCGGACAGTGGGGGTGTCCTGTGGCCCTGCCTTAGCTCCCTCGTCTCAGGAACCAATGGGAGCCCTCCGGGCCCGGGGGCGTGGGGGGCTCAGTACTAGGGCAGTGTCCTCGTCCTGACAGGAGCCCAGTGCTCAGGGACCCAGCCCGGATGTCTCTTCGCACCTTTGGCCCCAGAGTGGGGCGGGGGCCGGGAGGAGGGAGGTGCAGGGCCCCCTCCCCCAGCCACAGTAATGTCCACTGCGTCCTGGGTGTGTCCACTGCATCCTGGGTGGCCCCCAGGTGTGGGGGAAAGGGTTGGGGTGAGGCATAGGTGCAGTGGAGTTTTCTGGGGTGGCCCGACCAGCCCCCTCACTGGCACTACAAGCAGGTGGGGATCGGGGACCCCAAGGAGTATAGAGATTTAACTCCACCTCCTTGAGGAACCCTCGAGGCCCTCCATGTGACCCAGCGTGGTTTCTGGTCCAACCTGATCCCCCAGAAGGCCCCTAAGATTTCCACCGTCCCTCTGCACCAAACCCCTGCCCCTGAGCTCCTCGTAGCTGACCTTTGCCCTCCACCCCCAAAATAAGGTTCCAGCTTTCAATCTTCCTGAGGCCTCAGATCAAAATTGGATTCTTCCCTAAAGAACGTTTAGTACATTTGAGACATCATCCGTACAAAGTTAGCGTTACTTTTAAAAATGAGGATCATGACATAAACCGGTAAAAAACGGACCTGACTGAGCTTTGTGCAACCCCTGGGAGTGGGCCCTTGGGGTGGCCCAGCCCCCCACTGGGGTG